ATGGGCCGATCCGGGGGCTGCACTAATAAATGAATTGTAAATGAGTCGTGAAAGGAACTAGGGCAGATGACGATGATGATGATGATGATGGAATGGAATGGAGTGAATGATGAATTTATTTATGAAACAATTTGTTGAGAATCTTGTCGAATTAATTGAATAGGAAATTGTTATTCGTACAGGGGTTGAAACTAGAGAATATTAAAGAATTGCGTGTGGTTTAGATATAGGTGTAACTAAGCTATTTGGCTGAGAGAAATCATAACATTTTATTGCCAAAGGAATTAAGCCACTAAGTAACTAGCTGTGGCAAAAAAAAAAGAGTTTGATTGAGCAAAAGTGCGTTACGCATAATGGTTTTAGAGTCTTTATATCGTTTCTCTTTATACTCCTTTACTCTCACTTTTTGATGTGCTGTCAATCAATCATCTTCACTTGTTAAAAAAATAAAAAAATTAGAGTTAATTTAGACTATTTTCTTTTAAATTTATAGAGGAAAATGTGGTGAATAATTATATTAAAGCTTTTCAGGGCCTTCTTTTACCTTTATGCACCTGCTCTTTGACTCTCACTATCTCAATTTTTTTGTCTTACCAAATTGTTTTCAACTTTTCCTTTATAAACTTTACATTCCCTTCTGTTCTGACACTGACCCACAGTGAGGCAAACCATCCATCCCCATCCAAGAGCCACCTGAGGCACCTGAGGCGAGTGTACACTCTAATCTGACAGGTATTTGATTTGATTTACCAAATAGAGAGGGACGGCGAGAGGCTGTGCTAGAGGGAGAGAGAATGCAAATATTTACACCCTATTTGTGGCGAGTGTATCTGTGTATTTGTGGTTCATTCCGGGCACTCCACGACCACAGTCAAAGCCAGAGCCCCCAGCCACTTGAGGCGACATCCAAGTGATGCCTTTTGTTGATCGAGTGCTTGCTACGCACTTCACTCTCTCTCCATCGCTCGGACTCGCTCGCTCCTCCGCTGGCCCAGCTAAATGCCTCCCTTTCGGACAACGGTGAACTGCTACAGATCATCTTTGTATTCCAATGCTACTTTAACGCTCACGAAAAGCGCTTCTCGGTCGTCCCTCCTTTTATTTGGATATATATTTTTTTTATATATATATTTTTTGTTTATCGGGGTTTCTGTTTTTCGGCTATTTGCTGGGCAGTGGCGATTAAATCATGGTCCAGCCCCGAAGAAGGCCATCGAAGATTTGTACACTGCGAAAAATACAAAGAGCAGAGGAAGATCTATGAGTGTAGATCTATAAATGTAAACAAATTACTTATTTAGCCAAAAAATGAAGGCTTTACAAAAACTGATCCTAAATATGGTATTTTTTTAATTACACTGATAAAAAATAGGAATTTCGGTCAAAAAATCATTACCATTTGGTTTAAATTTTCTTTGCTTTATTGAAGAAATTTGTATAATTAATACCTTAGGTAATTATGGTATAATTTCTCTCGCTGTACAAATCTCCAACTCCACCTCCCTGTCTTGAGGAGTATCTTTTGTGTGGGCAAGTCAAGTGCCGAATGGCCGAATGCTCTTCAAGCGCTCATTGTTAGCCCATAGACGGGGTCGCGTAATGATCCAGAAAGCGTCGCAACGTCGTCGGCAAAAGCATCTTTCTCACGTTTAGCGCCTGGGCCTAGGCAATGGCCAAAAACCCATTCCCGGCCAGGCTAACAAGTGCCTTAGCCATTCGACACACACACACACATACACACACGAGCTGTAAAACGTCAAAATATACGAGCACAGAGCGATTTAAACTGTCAACGCTGCCGTAAACATTGTCAGTTGGAAGCTGATAGGGGGCTAACGGAGGGGTTGAGGGGGGGCCTAAGGGGCCCCTGGCCAAAACTGGAACCATGGAGCGCTCGACTTGGCTACTTGTTGCCTCAAATTTGCTTATGAGCAGGCCAAAACAACCGGCCGGCCAGGCGAACTCCACTCTGGTCCACTCCACGGCACTGCACAGTTCCCAGCTCCAAACACTGGTCTAATGTGGCTCGTAAATCCTGGCCGAAAACGGCTGCTAGCCTCGTTTTAGTTTCGGCCCGGCCTGATGGATGTTGTGATGCGGACGGGGCGGCACTTGGCCAGATTTACGCCCCGCAATTAACGTTCTAATCGCCTCAATTTGTTAGGAGCGGAGGCAGAGCGGGAAAAGCAGGTAGATAATCAGGCCCAAACAGCCTACAAGTCAATTGAGAGTGTCAACCTGCTGATACGACCAACGAGGCTGGTGAAATCCAACAATTAATTCCGGCTTGTGCATAAAATTAGTGCAATAATCTCTTTGATTCCGGACCGTAATGTGTTTTATTGTCAGATAAGGAAAGTAAATTATGGTTCGGTAAGCGTTTAAAATGGATATTAATGGGAAGAAGTGTGATAAATGCTGTATTTGAGTAATTAAATACCTGGTTGTGGGTTGTGTTAATGTATTGCCTACTCTTAGGCGAAATATTTATTTATAAAAAGCATCCTGCGGGTCCTGATTAAATATTAACATACTTTACTGGGAAAAGAACGCTCCTTTCTTCTAATCTAATGTGACTTTATAAAAGTACAGGGTATCCCAAAAAATATATATAATTCCCACATAGACTAATGACCAAGTAATTGCATTTAATCGCAAAAATGTTGACCATTATTACACTTCAAAACCACTTTGCTTTGTTCAATATTCATTCGGCCATGGCCGCATTCACATTAAATTCAAACTTGCTCTTAATAACATTTTTATGCACAATATTCAGAGTAAGTAATTAGCTCATAATTTGAATTTATGTATAATACAATTTTATACAGGTTTCGTGTCATTTTGAGTTCACCAATATTAATTGTACCTCGCTGGACACAACCAAAATGGACATCGCAGCATGTTTCCTTAGATCAGTAAACAGGACTTACAAATATCTGAGCTTTAGGACAAAGGTCTACCAGTTTCCAGTCACTGATGTTACGGTACAATAAGTTCTTGATATTTATTAGCTTTTCCTATTTTAATACTTTGTTTTTAATAGGTTTCGGTTCAGGTTCTTAAGAGACTAAATGGCTATAAACCGTTTCTTTTTAATTTTACCGCCGATGGTTGTAAGTTTCTCAAGGGACACAGGAACCAGATGACGCAATTCTTCTTTAATCTCTACGCTCCATATTCCAATATAAACCATCCCTGTCCGTTTTATGTAAGTTGTTTTAGATACTTAATGGATAACAAGTAACATTTTATATTCACAGCACGATGTATATGTGGAAAAACTGCCTATAAGCTATCTCGATAACATACTGACCAATGTTCTGCCGTTTCCCGAAGGCTCTTACTGCGTGCACAGTGTTTATTCTAATTTTAAAATACCAATTTTGGATCTTAAAGTCTATTTTCGAGTATATTAAAAAATTTTCCAAACATTAAAATCAATTTAACTCGTTCAATAACAAGCGAACCTTGGCAGTGTGCAGATCAACATTAGGGGTGCTCCTCATAATATTTTTAACCATATTTACAGCTGTCAGTGTGAGTTACTGCTTAGATCAAGTCTGAAATCATTATATTTTAGGTCTTTTCTTATAGGTCCTTTGCAGTTTCGAATTTCGATTTAAATTTGATGCTATTTTGGCTTAGTTATAATCGATTTTTAAACTTTGATTCTCCACTTTTAAAATTCAAATATTTTCGCTTTTCTTGAGGGTTTTTATTATTTTAGTTAGTTAAGCAGTCATTTCCGACCCTATAAACCATATATATTCTTGATCAGCATTAACAGGCGCTTCTTTCTAGCTTTGTTTGGAAGAAATTTATTTTTAAGCCATTTTTGGAAAAAAATGAAAGGGGTTACATCATTAAAATTTGCAAAAATGGCCTAAAATTTTGATTTTCTAAAATTTTAAATTTTGAATGCAGTTTTGTTAACCTGGAAAAAACTAGCACAGAAAAGCTTTCCGAATTGAATTTGATGTTTTTTTGGCTTAGTTATGAATGATTTTTTGATACGATACCATGATCCTATGACAAACTGTAAGGGTATACAAATTTTGGGTTTTTATACCCTTGCAGGGTATTATAATTTCAGTCAGAAGTTTGCAACGCAGTGAAGGAGACGTTTCCGACCCTATAAAGTATATATATTCTTGATCAGCATCAACAGCCGAGTCGATCTAGCCATGTCCGTCTGTCCGTCTGTCTGTCTGTCCGTCTGTCCGTCTGTCCGTCTGTCTGTCTGTCCGTCTGTCTGTTTCTACGCAAACTAGTCCCTCAGTTTTAAAGCTATCTGAATGAAACTTTGCATATAGTCTTCTATATACTCTTACTGCTATATATGTCGGAACGGGCCGGATCGGGCGACTATATCATATAGCTGCCATACAAATGTTCGATAAATTTTTAGAAAAAAAATTATTACTTGGCTGTTTTTCAACATATTTGCACTATTTTTTACATATGACCATCTTATATTATTTCTGAACTTTGGTACAAATTTTATGAAAATCGGACGACTATATGATATAGCTGCCATAGGAACGATCGGGAAATTAATAGGAATAAAATTATAGCTTCGTTGTTTTTCAACGTATTTTTATCTACTTTGAGATATGAGTTTTTTTTATTATTCTAGAATTTTGGTATAAATTTCATAAGAATCGGACAACTATATCTTATAGCTGCCATAGAAGCGATCGGTAAATTTATAAAATATATAAAGCTGGGAATGTAAAACTGTAATTGTCAAACTGTAAACATAATAAGTATAGGTAAAATGTAATGAAACTCTGTTTTGTGTCTGTTTTCGGCATTATAATTTATAATATAAATCTAAAAACCAATCTGCAAGGGTATACAAACTTCGGCGTGCCGAAGTTAGCTTCCTTTCTTGTTTCTAGATAGTTTTCTTTCTTATTTAAGGTAATTTTGTTATATATATATATTTATTTATAATTGTTTATTTCTTTCCTTATTCGAAATGGTATGTGGGCGACATGTCGCGCCAGAGAGCCGAATCCCTGCTCAAGCAGGGCGACAAGGAGGGCTGCTTTGTGGTGCGCAAGTCATCGACCAATAAATATATTATATATATTATATATTATTTTGTTTTTACTCATTAAATCTGTAATCACTTTATAAAAACTATATAAAAACATTATTGTTATATGAGTATTTAACGATAATCGGCTCATTTGGACTAATTACCAAAACTAATCACCAAAATAGTACTAACTTTTAAATCAATTTTCTCTATTCAATAACTATTGAGCCATGGCTGTGTTAAAGTCGACCTTAGCGGTGCCTACAATAATTATATTGTTTATAATAGTGGCAGTAAGTTCATAAACAACTAGGTTTTTAGATCCTTGTTAGTAAATACCTTTACAGGTCCACTCCCGGTTTGAGTTTACCAACTTAAAGTGCAATTCCTTCAATAAATCAGCAGTGGAAATCAAGAAATGCTTCTTGAAATCTATAAATCGTACGTACAAATATGCAAGCTTCAGTTCACACGTTTACACGCTTCCAGTAACTAATATGACGGTAAAAAATATTTTTGACTTCCAAAAATGTAATGTAATATAATTTGATCTCAGATTCATGTCCAGGTGTTCAAGAGACTCAATGGCTATAAGCCGTTTCTCTTCAACTTCACCGTTGACGCCTGTCAGTTCCTTAAGGGCAAAAGGAATAAGGTAACGCAATTCTTCTATAATCTAATCGCTCCCCCCTATTCGAACATAAGCCATCCTTGTCCATACAATGTAAGTACTAGTGGAAATTGATTATAACTTACCTAATTTGAATACTATTTTTTGTGTTACCAGCACGATGTCTTCATAGAGCTACCCATAACCTATGTAAATCATTTGTTGGACACTGTGCTTCCGGTTCCTGAGGGAAATTACCTTATACACAGCGTTTATTACACCCATGGCATGAAGCTATTGGAACTCAAATCTTATATGAATATATATTAATATTCAAGCTGACACTTTTATTGAAGAAAAACCATCTATAAAAATACGAGAAGCAGTTTTTAAATTTAATTAAATTATCAAAATTGTAAAGAAATTAAATAAACTGAAATAAATTAAAATTCTGGTTTGTAAACCTAATGAAAACTAGAACGGAAACAATTGTTATAATTTGGAATTTGTAAAAACGAAAACAAGTTCAACTTTATTTTCTAAAAATTAATATTTATTTATGTTTTTTATAGCAACATGAACACTTTGTTTATCTAATTAATTATTAAATATATTAAACATCTTCGTGAAATTTCTCAGTGACGCTCCGTTCAAAATAAAGTGTTCGGCTTTTGAACTAGCAAACGATTTTACTTTAATTTTTACAGTTAGTCAGAAAGTCTCAGTGGCGCCATGAAAATATATAACCCAATAGATGACGCCAGTGGGCCGATTAGGAAAAGGCTTAAAAATATTAATTAAAATTAAAATTAATTTTTTAAGTATAAGTATTTTCTGTTGCGTTTATTTAAGAAATACCTACTTCTTAAAAATTTAACATTTTAAGAAACAAATATTTACCACATTTTAAAATTTATTTTAAGAAGTTTAAGAATTTAAAATAAGAAGGAAAATATATATATCAGCCTAAAACCCGTACAAACCCCTTTGAAATCCTTTCAGTACTAACACACACACACATATAACCCACACAAAAACTCCTTAACACCCAATTTCAGGGCAATCGAAAGGATTCTCCAAACAGAGTAATAACAGCGACGCTGCCCAAACTGTCCATTAATTTCCCGTCTTTGCCTTTTTGTGGACTCATTGCCGTTAAACAAATAAAAATAAACTAAGCGTAAATACTTAAGAAGAGAATGAATGCCACGGGGAGAGGAGTTAGTCGCTGGTTGTGGGTCCTTTGTCCTGCCAGCCAAAGGACAATTGACCTTTTGCCGCTCTCTCATCGCTTGGCGGGGCTTTCTCTATTTTGGCCTATTCGGTGCGTCTGTGTGTAGGGTGTGCGTGTGTGTGTGCTAAACTTTAAATTGTCCAATGCTACGTGCCCCGCATGCGGAGTTCATAAATCCAAGCGCTAAATGTAAACATCAACAGTTGCGCTGCTGCGTGGCCAGTGCCAGCAACAATAACAACAACAATAACAACAACAACAATGATGGCAAAAACTTCCAAAGTTCAAACACAAACTAATGCAGCAGCAAAGGCAGGAACAAAAGCCAAGCGAGCCACACCCACGCCACGCCACGCCACGCCACCCACCTTGAGTTGCCCCTTCTTTTGCCCACCCAACTCGCACGCCTTTTTGGCCACTTTCACCGTTTTGTTGTTGTTGGTGTTATTGTTGTTGTTGTTGCTAGTGTCCTTAATGCGCGATAGCCCACTGTGTGTGTGTACACAGAGAGAAATTTAGTGAGCAGAAACGATAATTTGAAAGACTTACTTAAACACGGTTAATCTTAAAATTATACTATTTCTTAGTAAACTTTTAAGTGTAATTAAAAAACGTGTTGAAAACATTTTAGTACGTTTTAATACACTTTAAAAAACAGTTAAAAAGTAACAGTAACTATAGGACATTGGATGAGTTTCATATATTATTTTATACCCTTGCAGGGTATTATAATTTCAGTCAGAAGTTTGCAACGCAGTGAAGGAGACGTTTCCGACCCTATAAAGTATATATATTCTTGATCAGCATCAACAGCCGAGTCGATCTAGCCATGTCCGTCTGTCCGTCTGTCTGTCTGTCCGTCTGTCTGTCTGTCCGTCTGTCCGTCTGTCTGTCTGTCTGTTTCTACGCAAACTAGTCCCTCAGTTTTAAAGCTATCTGAATGAAACTTTGCATATAGTCTTCTATATGCTCTCACTGCTATATATGTCGGAACGGGCCGGATCGGACGACTATATCATATAGCTGCCATACAAATGTTCGATAAATTTTTAGAAAAAAAATTATAACTTAGCTGTTTTTCAACATATGTGCACTATTTTTTACATATGACAATTTTATATTATTTCTGAATTTTGGTAAAAATTTTATGAAAATCGGACGACTATATCATATAGCTGCCATAGGAACGATCGGGAAATTAATAGAAAAACAAGAAAGGAAGCTAACTTCGGCACGCCGAAGTTTGTATACCCTTGCAGATATTATTTCATTACATTTTACCTATATTATTATGTTTACAGTTTGACAGTTACAGTTTCGCATTCCCAGCTTTACATTTTCTCTACATCTACCGATCGGTTTATATGGCAGCTATATGATATAGTTGCCCGATTTTTATGAAATTTCTACCAAAATTCTAGAATAATAAAAAAAGCTTATATCTCTGTGTAGATGAAAAAACGTTGAAAAACAACGAAGTTTTAATTTTTTCTATTAATTTCCCGATCGTTCCTATAGCAGCTATAAGATATAGTCGTCCGATTTTTATGAAATTTTTATTGAAAATCTAAAATAATATAGAATGGCCATATCTAAAAAATGGTGTAAAAATATTGAAAAACAACAAAGTTATAATTTTTTTTCTAAAAATGTATCGAACTTTTGTATGGCAGCTATATGATAAAGTCGTCCGATCCGGCCCGTTCCGACATATATAGCAGTGAGAGTATATAGAAGACTATATGCAAAGTTTCATTCAGATAGCTTTAAAACTGAGGGACTAGTTTGCGTAGAAACGGACAGACGGACAGACGGACGGACAGACGGACAGACGGACGGACAGACGGACATGGCTAGATCGACTCGGCTGTTGATGCTGATCAAGAATATATATACTTTATAGGGTCGGAAACGTCTCCTTCACTGCGTTGCAAACTTCTGACTGAAATTATAATACCCTGCAAGGGTATAAAAATTATAACTTCGTTGTTTTTCAAACTATTTTTATCTACTCTGAGATATAAGCTTATTTTATTAGTTCAGAATTTTGGTATAAATTTTATGAAAATCGGACAACTATATCATATAGCTGCCATATAAACCGATCGGTAGGTGTAGGGAATGGGAATGTAAAACTGTAACTGTCAAACTCTCAACATAATAAGTATAGGTAAAATGCAATGAAATAATATCTGCAAGGGTATACAAACTTCGGCGTGCCGAAGTTAGCTTCCTTTCTTGTTTTAGACTAAAATTAGCTTTAAAATATCACACAAAGTTTAGATTATATTATTATACTTCTACAAGCATTTTGATTTAAATGTCTTAAAAATTTGCTATATTACATAATATTTTTAGTTTTTTTCCCATGTAAGGTTATTTTTTCTTTAATTAATAAAAATATTTAATATATTGCATCATAATTTAAGCATTTCCTAACAATCAGAATATTTTGAAGGTATATCGGCAAGCCTGTTTATAAATTTTATGCTAATTAATAAAATCTAAAATTAGCATTATACACCTAGCTCTGATAAGGTGATAGCTAATAAAACGATTGAACAATAAAAGTATTAAGCAACAAGAATAGTTCCTCACTATCAGTTATATGATAACAACTTTTTAAAGAACACCTGGATGACAGTACTTTCTAACGATTTACTACATTGTTTAATTGGGAATATATTGCGATATTTCAATTGGAAACAACAAAAAGTATAATATATATTTCCCTCAGTGCCTTTTGTGTGTGCCTGTGTATGGGTAGGTGTTAGCCATTCGGGCTACTGGCGTGACCAAGAGGAGCACAGCACACTCCCTTGGCAGGTCGGGCCATGGCTGGCAAGTAAAATAAAATAAACTTGAGTTTTGTTTTCGCTTGTCGTATAAGCAATGGCTTAAAGCCTGGCTGCCGCCATGGTTCTCCTCCTGCTCCAAGTCAACCCAAAACGCATGTGGCCGGTGGTAATGACCTACCCACTCACACACACACACTCTCAGGGCTTGTTGCACTTGCCTTGCCAAGGGTTAAGTTCCGATAATTATGGATGCAAAAGTGGAGCACAAATAACGAAACTGGAAGTGTAAAACAATCCGCACAGCAGTGAATGTGTGGCATGCCACACTTAAAGTTGTTTACCTTTTTTTGCAGCATTTATTTTGCCCAGTTGAGTTGGAATTTAATTGGTTTATGGGAACTTTTTGTAATAAAACTTAAATTGGAAGTTCTAATTCTAATATTATACAACAAAAGCTAGGCTCTCTTTTGATTTAAATATCCAGTTTATATTTAAAAACTCATCAATGGACATTCCTTTTTAAATAACCCAGCGATGAAGAACAAAATAAGCACTATCTAATCTGCAGAGTGAATGGTTTAGATAGGCGCCAGCTCTGAAGTGGCCAATTGAATGAATTACGACTCTATCTGATCTATAGATAGAGCGTTGTCTGGTACAATTAATTCTACAACTGCCTTAAATCAAGTTGAACAACTTGCACAGCTTATAAAATTGTTGTGACTCATTGAGAAACCTTTAGTTTCCTGTGTTTTTGTATTAATAAGCCAACGATGAACTAAGGAAACTTTAACACAAACCAAACAAAATCTTATTGGCCATTTCAACATGGCCCAAATCAATTAAAGACAAATGCACAATAAATGTGTAGCTTCCTAAAAAGCATGTAAAATGTTTGCTTATTTCAGAAATCAAATTATAAAACTTTAACCTTCTGCATTTTTGTTTCTTTCAATTTTATAACAATTATCTTTGACTTTTCTTTCCACAAATTATTCTTGGAATTTCTCTAGCAATTAGTCTAAATGCCACTTTGAATTTTGTGAAAATTCTCTCAGACTTGGACATTTCCCTGCAACTTAATACATTTTCCCTTGAATTTCCCACTGCACTTTAATAATCTAGTTACAGGTGTTTATTCCTTCGAGTCGGTAATTCAATTGTTGGCAACTATTCACATTTGTGGATGTGTCTGTCTCTTGTTCAAGGAAACTCCATTACAAAGTCCCTTTGGGGCGGGTAGAAAATCTCCGCCTAATTTAGACAGTGTTTACAGTAAATATGCAAACATACCGCTAAATTGGCATATAGCAAACAAAAATCGAAGCCACAATAGGGGTGGAGTTTCATGGGTGGTGGCATTGAGGGGGGGAGGGTGTTGGGCAGGAAAACAAAGGCAAGGACACACGTGTAAATTGAGTACACTTGAACCTAAAGTCGCTCATTGATTGTTGTTCTTATTGGCTCTCTATTGGCGCTTGACAAACATAAACAATCAAATATTTCACAAAAAACGACAAAAATGATTGGCCAATACCATGGCTAGGGGGAAAGTGTATACTATATATCTATACTATATATATCACACGGAAAGAAAAGGTCTCAAGTGGAACGGAAACTAGATTTTGGGATACTGGTTTGTATATTTTTTAATTATAAATACTTTTAACCCCTTTGAAATGTTATATCTTATCTACAAGTTCGCTTTTTAAATGCTATCCTATATATTGTGAATTTATTGTATCTTTCTTTGTTTTAAATTCTTTCTTAGTATTCTTAAAAAAATAAACAATTTAAATTAAAAATATACCTTAAACATCAATTTTAACATTTAAAAATATATATTTATTTTAAAATTCCTATAAAAAATTACAATCCTTATTATAACGCAATTTTGTATTCACTTTTGTTTTAATTTTAAGAAAAGTAAGTATTTATAAATTATTATAAAAAATATTTTACATTTACATTTTTCAGCTTACATATTTTTCTGGCCACCTTCTCCAGGGCCTGTCCAAGTAGATAATCTTATCGCCCGCGTCTCGTTTCCGGCTTATTAAATTAATTGAAAGGCAAATAGCGAGGAGGCGGCCATGCCATGTCTTGGATTAGTGCAAGTATGTGTGCCAGCGTCTATTCTATCAGCGGAGTAGCCTTCGTGTGCCAAAACACCTTATCATTTGCACACCGTTGTCGGCGGGGAAATGGGAAATACCTGTTGTTGCAGTTGCTGCTCGGCTCATGTTGCCCGCGATGTTGCTGGCAGCATGTTGCTCGCGTGTACGGATTGGGGCGCTCGGCCTTCGTGGGATTGGAAACTCGGAAAGGCACAGTGGCATGGTTTTTTTTTATTTTAATCGTTGCTAAAGTCGAATTTTGTGTTGCCAAACTTTTGTTTTTAATATTTTAGGTTGAAATATTTTTGAGATTATGTCACCTAAAAATTCTAATAAGAAGTTTAATTAAAATCAGTTTATTCAAAACTGAAAACTTTTAAATATTTTAAAACGTGTTTAAATGTCAATGTTAGAAAATTATTTTTAGTAACACTTTAAAATTTGTACTAAAGATTTAAATAACAATATGGACGTATTAAAATTCTTAATTAGAAGTTTAACTTAAGTTTATCCAAGATAATTTATTTTAAAATAATTAAATTAATATAAAATCCCAGCCCTAGCTTTTGCTATGATATTTGATAAAGTTTTCTTCATGATTTTTGAATTTAAAAATTCCAATTTAATTTTATTCAATAAATTCAATGCAAACTGTGCATCTTATTAAAACAAAAACAAAAAATCATTTCATAGACAACTTAAATAATTCAAAAGCTATTACTTTATCAACGTGTTTGGAGCAAACGAGAAACTGTGCGCTCGGTTTTCGTGGGTTTTGGGACTCGGCAGCGATTCGAGTCTGCCATTCGCTGGCCGAACTGGCGACTGGCGCCGCTTCTTCTGGCTTTCTGGCGCTGCTTGAGCGATTCAGTTCGCTTCTGTCCTCCGTTCGGCCAACAACACGGCGCGCCTGCTCCGCCTGCTCCACTCGGTCAACGTTCAGCAACTCCAACTGCAGTTTGGCGTTCGAAAGTGTGTCTCGATCCGCTGCTGCAGCCGCCCAAGTAATCAAACAAATTAAGACCCCCCAAATACAACAACAACAAAACAATCAATAAAAAAAAGAGAGGCTGATATGTATAAATAAAATAAACAAAGAAGAAAAACCGGCTCTTGGCTCACGAACGGCTGGGGATTTTGCACAGGGCGACGATCTCGCCAAGAAGATCGGCTGCGAGGGGCTCGTCCGACTGCATTCTTCTTCTTGCATCACGTGCAGCCGGCTCTGCCAAGCCACGCCCCCTCCGCCCGCTCCCCTTTTAGACTTTCAAGGCGATATTTGCACGGGAAAAAATGTATAGGGATTTTAGTTTGGGTATCTACATAAAGCGGGTTTTTAAACAAATTTATTTTTGAATCTATTGTTAAATATAATGAATATTAATATTTATATTTTTTAAATAATAATTTTTAAAATTAAAAAATAAATAACACAATGATAACAATTAAAGGAAACAGGAGTTCAAGATCCAAAGTAAAGGTTTTAGGAAATATGGTTTTACCTATATTTAGGCTTATTTTGTAAAATTCCCATTTCTCTAGGTTTATCCATTTTAATATATTTCTTTGATTTTGTTTTTAAGCAACTTAGACACCCTCTGCCTCTATTCTCTCTGAGGCTTTTTGCTTAGAATTCGCTTTCTGAAAATTCGCCAGTTTACAGTTGTACCTTGTTATGCAGGGTGTTTCGTTCTCGGTCGCTGGTTAAGTGTTTTGTTTTCGTTACTCAATTGAGCGGCAAAAAAAAAAAAACAAACTCCCTGAGAAAGCCTTGCAAATATTACCCATTGGCGGCGATTGAAATTCCGAGTCGGAAAATATGTACGCAAAGTGCGAAAAGTGGTCTTACGTTGCGGTTACAACAGACAAAGCAAATGTGCAAATTTAGCGGAGTTAGTACTTGAACTTGTCCCTCTAATAATGTAATTATTTATGGTTTATTTTGCTTTGTTTTTCTCCGAGAACCCTGACCTGAGCCAATTCTCAGAGCGATGCTCATAAATTTGCTTCAATCACTCGAACGTAAACAAATTCCCGAGGAAAAGTCGAGAGGCATTTGAATAGTGTTTGCCAGCTTGTATCGTTTATTTATAGGCATTCAATGCATCTGTCCGAGAATGCTCAACATTTATTTGTATTTACATATTGCCATATTGCAAATAATAGAAAAATAATAACATAAATGGCCACAAAACATAATCAAAGCCAGCAACAGCAACAGCATTTACCTGGTCAAATCGACAGCAATTTGAATGATTTTTTTTTTCGTTTTGCTTTTAATTTTCACTTGTGTTTATCTCTCTTAATGTCTATGCAAATGTGGGAATATAATAAAGAGTGTGGCAAGAGGAGAAAATCGGGCCTATCAATAATGCAAGTGCATTTGCACAGTCTCTGTTGAAATTAAATAAACATTAATTATTGGCTCGGAAAGCTTTTAAATATCGGAATTTATTGATGGAAAAGTGTAGAGTTATATTCTTTGTTTTCCAAATATTAAATATTGGCTATAAAAAGGTATATTTGGTTAAAGTTTCCTTAGCTTAAAAGTATTAGTAAAATATTATGGCATTCCTTAAAATATATATTTCAAAGAATTGCAGAATTATGAATATTAATCTTTCAAATGAAAGTTTTTTTAATTTTTATAATTTTAATAAAGTTTTTTAGGTAAAAAAGAATAGTTTATAATATTTTAAACATTCCTAACTTTAAATATATTTAAACATTTAAATACCCAATCACTTCAGAGACCCATTAAATAATTATTTTCCAAAACTTTAAACCCACATCTACCAACTGTGAGCCCCATTAACTGATTTTCTCACCTGGTCACAACCCAAAACAATTATATTTTTGCCACTGTTTTGGTTTTGGCTTGGAGCAACCCACGCAATTGTCCCCAAAAACTATACTTTGACCTGTCCACGCCACATTTGCAACGATAATTGGTGAGAATGAGAGGTAAAAATAAAAGCACCCACGGCCAGGAAAAATATTAGAAGGAACCCCAAGTGAGGCAAAGGAAAAATAAAAAAAAAACAAAAAAGATAAAAAAGGCAACCCGAAATGCGAAGACACTGAAAAGACAGCCTCTGACGTTGTGCTTTCGCTTTTCTCTTCAACACTGGCTATTTTTAGATCAATTTTTCTTCTTTAGCTTGGTGGTGATTTTCTTTCTTATTTTTGCAGCTTTATTTGTCACCAGCGAAATGCTTTTACTGCGTCTCGATCGAAGCAATAAATAAATAAATAAACACAGCAAAACTGTGCTAAGCGACAGTGTATCAAGCAATATGAATCCGTCGAAGCCTATAATTTGCTATAAAAACATATGCATTTTATAATTATCATTGTTTTAATTTGTGTTCATTGATTTATTGTTCTAACCAAACCAGTTTCCGTGGCGTCCCCCGCTGCACTTTGCAAAAAACAATTGCATTGCAAACTAAAAATCGAAGGAGAACGGACAATGAAAATGCATCAAAGCTGGAATTGGAAACTCAACTGGAGCTGGACTCTGCTGATTTTCTCGGGTGAGTATCTATGGAGGATTTTCAGAGGGTTATCTGACCCGATCTGGCCCAAAAACGTAGCAAAGTTTTGGCCCGAAAAATTTATGAAATGCCAATTTCACTTACGTTTAACTTTATTACCCCTGACGCACATTTGCAACTTTGTTGCAACTATTGCTCTTGGAGGTCCTGTACCAAGAGTCTCAGATTGCCTTTTAGCTTTCAGCTCGAGCACTATTTCAATGTTTCTGTTTGTTTGTTTATTTGTCTCTCACCCACGCTCCTCCACATCCATTCTGTGCTCCATCCTCCGTTCTCCGTCCTCCGGTCTCCGATTTCCAGCCCTGCTCCTCTCGGTGGCTAGCTCACAGGAATGCGGCCAGGAGGAGTTCACCAAGTGCGCCGAACCACTTGATATGCTGCATTTAACGTCGGAGTTCTCGATTGGCCCGGCCAAGAAGGAGGAACTGGACAAACTTTGTCAGTAAGTGGCCCACGCAAAAAACAAAAAACAAAAAATGGGGATTGAAAATGCCCCAAATCCCCAATAACAATCCACCTTCTATTTGTATATATCCAAAGTCACATGATCGAGTTCTTTATTCCTGTAAATGTTCTTGTAAACATATGTAAAGTAAGCTCAACTATAATCACTAGGTATTCGATACATATATGTTTAGATAATGTATTTCAATGAACTGCAATGAACTGTTACAACAAGCTTAGTTGCGAGTGCTTTGTGCAATTCTATTATCGACTTGCAGATACAAATTTCTTTGTACAATGAAGAGTCTTTAACCATTTAAAATAAATATAAAAATATATACTTCTATAAAGAACAAAGTAGAACATTGATTAGCAGGAACACTTTTAAAAAGTAAGTAAGTCCAAATAAGGGCTTATCGGTATTAGTTTAATATATTTTTAAACGAAATAAATTACAAAAAAAATAATTTATTTATTATTTCTTTTTTACTACTTAATTTCTTATGTTTTCATGTCTTTTTTTGTACATTTTATAGCGAGCTTCGCAAGGGTGTTAGATGCATCCAGAGTTACACTCGTCGTTGCATGGATCTGCAGCAGAGGAATCAGTTCAACAAGCTTTACCATGGAACAAATCAGTTCATACGGGATCTGTGCAACAAGGGCGAGTTCCAGGATGAATACCTCAAGCATGCGCCCTGCTCCGAAATGGCCAAAAAGCAGTTTGAGGTGTGCTCATATCGCTATAAAGAAGCCATGGTCTTCCTAAAGCCAAATAAGAACCAGGAGAATGCTGAAAATGGTACATTTAATGAAAACATTAAAACCATTTGCTGGTGAGTAAGAGGAAATATTAATATATATTTAATTTAATTTGCAAAATATATAAACAATATATTCTAGCTCCATTAACGAACTCGTTGATTGCTCGGAGGAAGCCGCGCGTAAAGTCTGTGGCAATGAGGCGGCCAAGTTCACCCGAGAGTTGGTCGACAAGTACGCCAATAGCCTCACCAAGGTGAGTTTGTCAAAAAAGAGTCTCTTAAACCTTAATTCTGATCGTCTGTATATTGCAGATTTACTGCGAGGACTTTACCAGAAATCCAGGCATTTGTCGGGATGGCGAGGGCAATGGCTCCCCTCGATCTGGCGGGATCAGCTTGAGCCTTTTTCTGACAGGGACTCTAATTACAGTGCTGGCCAGCAGCAGAGGCCACAGATAGATAAAGGAATCACAGCTAAGTGCACAAATCTAGAACCAGTCTTATAAAAACGGGACAGCCGACAAAATAAGGAGAAATAGTTAAGGTTTCCCCCTCAAGTCACACCGAATGAATTCCACACGCTGTTGCATACTCTTGGCAGTCAGTTTAGGCCACACGAAAGTCCCCAAAATAGTGAGAGAAGCAACACTTAAGCTATACAGTAAAGTAAATGTTAAGTATGCTATGTATACCAGTATGCATATATATAATATGTTTATATATATGGGGGTAGAGTGGGAGGAGAGCTAAGATCGTATATATACGGTTATGAATGTTACTATATATCGGATGTAGGCTAGATAGTTAGAATCAGTGTTGAGTGTGGGCAGGCAGTTAGTTGTTGTTGGCCTTACTTTCCAATCTGCGATCGTGCAATACTAGAGTTTCGTTGAGTTTGTTGCAGTTTGTCCAGGCTTTAAGTGTAGGCATATATTTTAGGTAATATTTCCTAGGTTCCCCCAAAAACCATTGTTAGCTAAAGTTAGAAAGCGCCCCAATCCCGTCATTTTTTCCATTTATGAATAACTACATAAGTAAAAGCAGATATTGAAAAAAAACACCTCCAAGCGCACAGGAAAAAATCAACACTCCCGAGTGGATTTGCTCACATATCGGCAATAACTTTTACACAAAACGAAAGTGCATTTCTATGAATGAGAGGATTTTATAGATTATTTATAATTCTATTTAGTGGATAGCGTATATTTATTTTACACACTGTAAATACCTTAAAATATATTCAAATTGATAATGCTGTAAGGCGTTTGGAAGTATACACATATACATACGTATATATAAATAAATATTAGTTTAACTTAAATACAAACACACTCTCTCACGAACACACACACACACACACACCTTCTTACAAAAAACTGTGAATATATATTATGATTAAAGAGTAACATTTATTTTAAGTAAAACACACACATGCATATGCAAGAAAAAACAATAAAAAAAAACACGAGAAAATAAATTAATGCAAAAAAAAAGTGTGAGAAGAGCGTCGAAGCAAAAGGGGAAAACGAGCCAAATGAGCGAAACGAGCGAAGGGTTTATATTTTGGAAGACCGACTTAAGGATTGCTCTGCAATAAGGATCGAATATTATTGAGATAAGTATGTACCCCACTTTTTGGTTTGAATTTCAATTAAAGGTGGATTTTTAAACGGAAAAATTGGAAAGAACTAAGGGCTAAGGGTTAAATTTGAAAAAAAGCCCTACCTAATGTTGCTGGAAATAAATTATTTAAACTTTATTTAGAAAAAATATTAAAATTTAGATCTCCTTTTATAAGAAATGAAATCATCATTCTAAGAACAATTAATAAATACAAACTATTCAAAGAAACTAATTTTCAAAGAAAAGTTTGAAGCTGTATAAATGTAATAGTAAATTCCCTTTTAAGACTATTATATTTTTACCTTAATATATAATTTACTTCAAATCCAATCCAAATGAACTCAACAAACTAAACCCCTTTTGAAAAGAGTATAAAGAGCAAACGAGTGCCGTGCCAAAAATGCTTTTTACTGCAGGATAAAACCGAGCGCGGCCAAAAAGTATGCAGCTTTCTCCCTGCCGGCGCCCAAAAGAATGCTGCGCAAATATGCCAGCACTGTTGGCATACTGGCTCGAAGGGGGAAAAACCAACCAGGAGCGCGGGGATTTACCAAAAGGGTTCGCCAGGACGCGTGCAGAACGCGGCGGTGACCTGCTGCACCGAGGCTGGCCATAATTTATGTTTATGTGGTGCGTTCATTAGACTAGCAGCGACGACGACGTCGGTTGACTTCTCGCCTGGCAGCTAATTTATAAGGTCGGCACACGACTCAAGGACACGTATGTACGTACAAGGATATGCTGCCCGCTGGGGGTGAATAGTGGCTGCTGCCGCTCGGCTGCAATAATTACAGTTATCATACTTGGCCAGCGACCTGAATTTGCGTTTGACATTCGCAATCTTGGTCGGACATTGATTTGGTTTCCTTTTGCCAGTGATATGTGAGCGGTTAACTGTCACAAGTCAGCTGTTAACTAATTAAACTGAGCTAAGTATCAGAGGCTGATTAAATTAGCGATACATTTTAGTAAGTCTTAAAGTTAAAGGTATAAACCAAGGATTAACTCCACATCTCATGTAAATCTTCTCCTTTCTAACATTCACATTTTTCCTCATAATCCTTGTAGCCTCCAAATCAAATTGTGATATTTGAAATTCTGTCTGATCTCCGATAGAGTTCTTTAAATTAAATTTCACATTGAATTATTTGCTAGTTGAACTCTTGAGGCTTTTCCTTTGAAGCCTTCCCATTGGCATGAGCCTTTTCTGTCAATAAATATATATTGGCTTGACATTTCCGGACATCTTTTGCAATCACATCTCGGAATTGCATTTTTTGAGAGGCCAAGCGAGGCATATTGGGGCTGTGTGGACCAAATGCTTAACAAATCAATAACCGAGTTAAGAGGGTAGCCGGTCGAACGGGGACACAGGTAGAGGAGCATCTCTCGATTGCAGCTCAAATATTTACGTTTCCATTTAGAGTGGGGCGGGCAAGTGCAGGCTCACGGCTCCCCAGAGTCATTTTCAACTTCATTTGTTGTGCAAATAGGCGAAATGCATGGCCATCTCCAACGAGCAACGAGTAACCTCTTTCCTTTCCAAATTAATTCCAAGTCATATTTCCCAGCTTGAGCCATCGTTTTGTGGCAAAAGCTTTTCCGGTAGCCTTGCCATTTATTTTTCTTGCAAGCTTCTTTTTTTTGTAGTTCTTAATTAATTGAAAATATCTTTTGTGGGTTTCGTGCCCGAGTGGCTGCATGAAATGGCAAACAAATTGACAGCCAGTTGCAGCTTGTATTCAAATGGGAGGTGTCGAGTGGCATTCAGGGCAATTCCCTTCCGATTTCTACTACTCCGGGTCCAATTTCCATTCCAGTTTTCATTCGTCCCTGGCGGCATCCCGGCAGCTCTTTCACTCATGTTTAATCCTCTTTAAGCGGCAACAGAACGATTACATTTTTTTTTTTTTTTTCTCCTTTATTTTCAGTCGCTTTTGCTTTTATTTGCACATTTCCGCTGCGACTAATCTGCAATTATGTTTTACATAAAAATCCTATCACAATCCATACAACAGCGCTGGTGGATGTGGATGAAAGTTTTCCAACAACTTTTGTCCAAGCTTGATTGTTTTGCCTGCTGAGATAGTTGTGAAATACAAATATTAAACAACTGCTAACAATAACAGGAAGCAGCAGCAGACAGCACACAGCAGATAGAAACACCAGCAGGGTTTAACGCTGGGCCAACGTGGCGTATGCGTATTAAATGGTGTATTTACAACAGATCAAAGCTACAGGAAATCACAAAGAGTTGAGCGAAATTATAGATGGGCATAATTATGTACTTTTTTTGTTTGTAAAAATCAATAAAAAACTAAAATCAAATATCACAAAAACTGCAGAAATGATTAAAACAAAATGAGATATATTAATACTAAAAAACATATACAAATAATGATTTTACATTAAAGCAAAATTTTTAATAATTGAATTACACAACTCTCATAAACATTATTTGAATAAAAAGATAATACAAGTAAAACGAACAATACAATATTTTTATATGAGTAAATCAGACATGGAAAAGTGAAGCCAACATATACTTTTACTATACAATTTGCTGTTGTATTAATTAATTGCCTTAAAGTTTAATTGTCTAGAGGACTCACACAGCACACTGCTAATTAAAGCCGCCTAATTATGGCTACCCATTCCTGCCAGCAAGGTCGAACGAATCAAAATGCAAACAAATATATCAATTACTAATCTGCATGTTAATTACGCCCCATTAAGCTGAAACTGAAATCACAATGGCGAAACTATTAACGGATCTGGGAACAACAGTTGAACTGCCACGCAATTAGGCTAAGAACCAGCTTTTCCGGGCATGTGTCTGTGTATTTTGACCAAATCTTCTAAGCTACTAAGCATATTTAATAACTGTGGCAGAGCTCAGGAACTCGGAAATGGAAATCCAAACCCTCTATGAATGCCCGATGCATTTGGTAGCATTTACGTGCTGCTGCCGGACCCACATCATATTCACTTTGAGTTATTTTCGTTTCTATTTCAATTGCAAGTCACTTGGAGAGATTAAATGGCAACCCCAGCCCAACCTTTTCGGGGGCCCCTGCACCCTCCCCCCCAACCTGATGGCCATAAATGCGCTTGTGGTTGTTAGGTGGTTGCTGCCCAGGTGGATGAGCGGGTGGCGGCCATGTCAGCTGTTGGCCAGCTGCCCCGGCTTTCGAATGCATTTCGTAGACGATAATCATGTTGGTGGCTGCAACTTGCATCGGCAGCATGCGTTGCATTTGCAATTCCTGGCCATCCTGCCGAGATGGTCGATGGGCCTGTCTAGCTATGGCCTGCTGTGGCTTGTCGTGGTGTGGTTTATGGCAACATCTTGTCCAATTTATTACCACTTTCATTTGGTAGCATAATAGGCAATGCACTTGTACGCATACACAGAGTTGCACAGAGAAAAAAGGTAATTGAAATGCTCTTTCTTTCAAAGAATAATACAAAAATAAAAAGAAATTCTAACAGTATATAGATAAAATCTTACTTTTCTTTGAGCTTAAATTTATGTATCTTAGTTTTTATATTTATTTTAGTTATTTTAATACTTTTTCTCCCTCTGTACTATGCGCACTTGTGGCAAAATGTTGCCGGACGGCCAGCATACACATATATCTATAACACGTAGCACTCAAAAATACTCAAACATTGAAATTGGAGTTCTAGTTTTTGGTTCTCGTCTCGTTTCTGCTTCATCAGTTACATGCTTTGAATAATTCAAGCGTGTTTTAGGCCTTTGCTAGGCGAAATATATTTCTGTTTTACGGTTAACCCCTTGCCTTAGCCCCGTCTATAGCTGCATTGTACAGACAGTCGGCTTCTGTCTGCCTGGAAAATGTTATTAAATTATTTCAAAATCATCCAAAACTATAGTTCGTTCTTGTCAGCCACAAAGGCTTGTGTTTTCTTGAAAAACATATCAAATTTAACACTTTGTGCGAAATTGTTGAGAAACTGCAATTATAGCATATTAAGCATGCGGGATTAGCATAATTCAGCGGGACTAAGTTCAAAAGACTCTTGGCTGGCGCGTCTACATATACGCGTTAGGCTCCTCTGCCACGTTACGTATACGCAATGCTTGACGCCAGCCATTTGTGCTGCATATCCCCAGGCGCAGCTGGCACAAAAATAGCAGGAGAAGCGAGTCGCAGATTTCCTGAACGGTGGTTTATATTAGAATATTGGAAGGAATGAAATAAGATAAATAAATAAATTGTAATTCAATATGATAACAACTAAACAGTAAAGAATAATTTAGTATTTAATAGAATTAAACTGATTTATAATTGTAAAAGATTTTAGTCTATTAACTTTCTTTATTTTTAAAGCATTTGTTGTATAATTTTGAAGTGTTTAAAAAGTTATTTCAAGCCCCAATGCTTTATGTTATCTTTTTCAATGAAACATCTTACAGAAAAACGTATTTCACTTATGTATATTAACCACATTTTATTGCTAACAAAAATCCCCTTTTGAAAACCACTGTGCAGCGGCTGCTGAAAAACACAACTCAAGTGTTGAACGCTACCACCAACACTCTCCACCAACCCCCCTGCACCTCTTTTTGTGTCTTTTGTGGCCTTTCGCTGTTTGTCAACAGCAGCAGCAGTGGCAGCGTTGGCAGGCAACACTTGAGGGGGCGTGTCAGGCGTGTAGGCGCTTTTTAATTGCACTGAAAACAAAACTAACAGCTAAACACTTGTTGGCCGCCTGGCTGCCTTCCAGCTAGTTGTCGCGTGGCAAGTGGCAAGTGGAAAGTTGAAAGCGACGGAGGGAG